AGACATTTATCTCAATTCTTTTCGAAGAACTACCTCTTGGATTTAGTTGTTTTTTCCTACTGTTTTACTCCTTTTTTCCCCATTAATTATAGCATTTATCTTAATTTCCTCCTTTATTATGCCCTGTTGTTCACTTTACAAATTCTTGAGTTGAGTGCTTTATTTTTTATCATTTCTTTAATAATAAAACTCATTTGAGTATCTGAATACAGATTTTGCTGTACCCTGTAAGTTTTGTTATTCTTGTTTTGTTACTTTTTAAAAGGTCTATAATTGCATTAGCATATTTTAATTTAAACTTTATTGTTAATCTATTGTGTTCAGATATTTAAATTTATTCTTTATTATTAATGTATATTCAGATAAAGAAATTCATATTTTAGAGTTTGACATATTTTTTGTAGCTTAATTTCCAATTCAGTTTGTAAATTTTCCTTGAGTAATTGAAATGAAAGTATTCCCTATAGCAGATTACTTTATTAAATTTATTAAATCAACCTTGTTAATTATTTTTCTGATTCTGTATATCCTTTTTAGTATTTTTCCCTTCTTGACCAGTTGCATACTGATAGAGAGGTGTGTTAGAAGAAACAGTCTGCCTGGGTCCTGAGCTTTCCTGCCTTTTTTTGGGTAGGGCCCTTTGGGCTGATTCAGTTTACTATTGTGTGACTTGCACTGCCTAATATATAACTGGTATTGATGCTTTACATGGTTGTACATTCTTGGCCACAGGGACTGTCCCCTACCTTTGGCCCAACAGAAACAATATTGGATCCTAGGAGGAGAAGCTTTAATGAGAGCTTTAATGAGAGACTTCATAACTCCCATGTACTCAGGCCATTTCCTAGTGTAGCAGAAACACTCCTGCCTGACACAGTCTTTAAGTAGACTTATAAGAAAAGGCAGCTGTTAACCCACCACTCAGCTCTTTTTGAAATGGATTGCCCAGCGTGTGGAGACCATGTGACTCTCTAGCCAGACCTCCCCACATTGGTGTGGAGCAACTTAGATGCCAGGACCCGTTAGATGAAAGGGCCCTCACGGGGCTCCTGGCCAAATAGCAATGTTCTATTCTAGAGCTGAACCTGCCTGACATCAAGGTTTCAGGAGAAAAAGTAGCAGTTACTTCTTGGAGCAAACTCTGTCCCCAGCTCTACTGCTGCAGCCAAGCCACTCATGTCACCTAGGGAGGCCCTCATGCCCAGAGGTACCCCTGTGTCCGGGCTGGGCTCCTGGTGTTCAGCTGCATCAGAAGCTAATGGTATTCACTGAGCAGTGGCCGCCCATAAAAATGGACTCTTATACTTGTGAATTTTTTATTTTTTAAAAATTTGAATGAAATTTTGCTTAATATCATATAATTAAACATATGCAAGAAATAAAGAATAAAAATTTTGTTTATTTAAATATAATATAAAGAATAATAACAATGAAGCCCTACATACTCACCATTTAAACTAAAGAAATAGAACATAATATTATAGTATACGGTAAATTTTATCGATATAAAATGTCCTACTATGTCCCATTTAAGATATTTTCCTATGTCAAATCAGATACTCCTGTTACCTTTTTAAAATTTTTCACTTATTTTCTGCCATTAATTTACAATCATAGATAAAAAATAAATAAATAAAAAAATTTTCACTTCATCTTTTGATCATCTCATTTCACTGTTATTTTTTAGTATCACTTTATTTTAGGTATGCCTTATATAGTTGAGTTTTGTTTTTTGCCCTAATTGGCATATATAATTTGTTGTAGATATATTTGGGTTTTTTTTAAATCTGTTTGTATTTTTATATATTTTGTTATGTTAATATTTTGCTAAGCATGTTTTCTTTTACTATATTATTTCTTTATTTTTTTTCTTTTCTATTTTTGGCTGTCATTTACTCCCCTCTTGTGGAAGGAGGAAAGGATGTTAGCATGACACTGTTAATGAAAGTAATATTACTTTTGATACTAGTTATTATTACTGTTACTAGTATTATTACTTTAATGCTAGTAAGATTAGTGGTAACCTATAATTTTTAATAGCATTATTTAACTTTAATTTATCTACTATCAAAAAGGGAAATATTTTAAATGACCCCTATTCAAAATGAATTTTTCTTTAGCTCTTTCTTTTCTCCCATTTAAATGTCTATTTCTTTATAATCTAGAATAATTATCATTAAATGACTTCTCTTTCGAAAATATTTTTTGGCATTGTATTTTAGTTTGTAACCATATATGTCACTGTTTATATTTGTGTCTATTTTTTAAAAAAATTGTCATTGTTTACCAGCAGTCTCTGTGGAGTCATTTCACAGACCTTTGAGAAGGACTAGGAAGATAGGATGGTCTTGGGCTCCTGTACGCAACAAAGCCATAAAAGTTTGAGTCCCTCTCTTCCCTGCAGTCCTCCTGCATACACTCACATGGGTATGTGTGGCTTTCATTGCCCCCGAGGACAGGGAGAACTCCTTACCCCATTCATCCTTTCTCCCCAAGCATCTGGAGGGCAGAGTGGGGAAGAGTAGGAGTGAGGGAACATGGAGAAAATGTTTAAGCAGTTCATGGTTAAGCACACCTTTAAGCAGGGCATCTTTCATTTTGAGTGGCCACTCGTGGTGCAGCCAAACTTGTAATGTCTTTGATTTATGCAAAGCTCTCCATCCTCATTTCTGACACCATGCATTCAGCTTCAGAACTCCTTGATTCAGCAGGGGTATCCTGGGGACCTTTTAGCTGGTGTTGCAGGGCTTGCTGTTATATTACCATAGTAACATCCCTTCGTGCTTCCACTCAAAGGAGAGGGGACAACAACCAAGCCCCCAGTGGGTTCAGTCTCACACCCCTGCGCATCTCAGCCTCTAGACATGCAGTGGGTAGTTCTGTTTGGGAGTCTCGCTTTTCCGCTTGCCTACCACTTGCCTTCCTACTAGATCCTGGGAGTCTTCTCATACCCCTTAACCCAACCTGTGTGAGCCTTTGTTCTTTCTTGTCTAGAAAGCCATGTCTCTGTTAGCCTCCTGTCCTTGTTGCCAAAAACTGTTAGCAGTCAAGAACTGTGAAGGGTCTGAGAATTTATCCTGCTTGCAAGCCAGTAAGTTAGCCTGCCAGTTTCAGGGCTGGTTGTAGATATGAGATTCCTGGGTCAGAGACCAAGGACTTTGTTATGTGTAGCACAGCAAGTGCACAAGCTTCCTGTTAGTGCCTATTCCCCTTGACCTTCAGCCCCATAAGGGTGGCACAGAGCAGCCCCCACTTGGGCTTGTGTCACAGCTGAGGAGCTCTGAGCTTAGGAAACCCACTGATTTGCAAGCAAATCTGTCTGACCTTTGCTTGGAGGTGAACATTATCATACTAGACAGTAAACAAACCTGTCCTCTGCTTCAGAGAGAGACAGTGTCTATAACTTCCAAGGCTGTCTGCTCTACAAACATCCTTGAGAAGATAGACCCGAACAAGAACTGTCCTTGCTCATGAGATGCACAGAAATGTGAGAGACCCGTGGAGCATTGTCTCTTAACATGTAGGAACATATTAATATTTGAAGAAAACAAATTTAATTGTTAAGAAGTAATTATTTCAATAAAGTTGTAGTGTGTTTTGTCACAGTGTGTTTTTTGGTAGTGTGTTTTGTGTCTGTTCCTGTTTCATCTCATTCGAATAATGGCTACTTGCCATGAGATCTCTCGTGTTAAAATACTAGTCTAATTCATTCTGGTTCACTGACCTCCCTTATTGTGAACATCGAGGGTGAGCTGGCTCTCAGTTCTGAGGAAGTATTTAAAATGTGCTGAGGGAAATCTGTGATGCTGCTGAAGGGCCAGGAGGGAAAAGCCATTCCACCTCTGAGATTGTCTTATAGATCTAGGACACTTCTCTGTGGTTTTAGGACTTTTCCTTTCCTATTTCTTGAATTTGAGGAACTGGAGTGCTATGATTTAAGTGCAATCTATTCCTGCAGTTCAGAAATTAGAAAAAAATATTTAGGACAAAACTGAAACAAGTGTGTTTTCGATCTTTATAACTCATATCTTTAAACTTTTTTCAATGTGAAATGAAAGATTACATAATTTATTGAGAAACATGGATATACTTATAACTATTTCTGTTATGTTAGATATTGTAGGTTAGTGCATTACAGTACCAAATATCAATATGAATCTTTAACTTAAGGTACACAGTCAGTCATTTGGTGACTTTTCAGGAGTATAAAGAAAATTTTTTTTTGCCTGGTCCTGTAGTTTCCACGTTTAAGTCTGACCTTTAGTTTGTCCCTGAGGCAGAATTTGTTTTACATTTAAAGAAAAATTGTGCATAGCGATTCCTCATTATATTCTAGCCTTGTGGATTAATGAAAATTCCATATGATGTGAACAAAGGAATTATATATAATTGATAAAAATAATATCTATGTAGTTTATAACACTGGATTACAATGAACAGTTCTTCAGCGGCACACTAGAGGGCTCCGGAGGCTGTGAGGAGCTACATAGAATTCATGCTAATGGAGAATGACGTTCTCCAGTAAATTGGTGCATTGTGCTTTCACCAAGTTTAATGTTCACTAAACTGTTTGGCTGTATGCCATAATTAGCCTTATATTCTCTTGATTTGAATCACAGATAGAAATTCATTAATCTACTTTGTTAGTGGAAACTGTTAGGAAAGTAGTTGTTAAAAATGGTTCTGCACATGTTTTTATGAAGGATTTTTTTGTATTTTATTCCAAGCTTAATAGTAATTTTGAAAAGAAAAGTCAGTCTAAACATTATAAATTATAAGCATTTAGTGTGTTTTTCCTGTTAATAAATATAAATTTCCCCCTTTTGCAAAGGATTATTTTATGCTTTCATATGGACAGAAAGCTTATTGTTCATGAGACGAAATAAAATACTAAATACAAAATAAATACAAATACGAAATAAAAACTAAATACGAAATAAAATACTATACTAAAATACGAAATAAAATACTAAAATAATTTCTTTGATTGTAATTTTCAGGGAATCCGAGCCCGCATTTTAGAAACTCTGGTCATGCTGGTTCTTCTTGCATTATTGATTCTCGGGATAGTGTGGGTAGCCTCAGCACTCATTGACAATGATGCTGCAAGTATGGAATCTTTATATGGTATGCATTTACTTATTTTAAACAGTTTCTATAAGGGAAACTATAGTTTGGGATATAATTACACATTCAATTAAAAAATATTTTAATGACTCTTTTTAAGTTAACTCTTCATGTTAATGTACAAAATTAAGACATTTTTAGATACGTTTATGAAAATAAATGAATGTTCATTTCATATATGCAGAATGAATAAGCCACTTTTCAGATTTTTTTTTGTTAATTGGCTTCTGTCTTTAAATTTCATGAAGGCTTTTTTTTTCTCCCTCCAAACAGGTTTTGCAAAAGGGTTATTTCCTATTCTTCTATTTTAGATCTTTTTATTGTATAATTTAGAAATTATATGGTTTAGTAGACTCACATAGGCAATTATGATATTTACTATATGTTAAGATATAGTCAGCCTATATCTTATCTTAAGATAGACTAACTATATCTTAATGTAAAGTATTTTGGATTTATTAAAATATATTTACTTTTTTTCTAGATCTCTGGGAGTTCTATCTACCCTATTTATATTCCTGTATATCATTGATGGGATGTTTGTTACTTCTCTGTAAGTATTTTTCTGACTTAATATTGCTAGGAAGATAAAATTGTCTTATATTCTGGAAAATCTATGAGGAAGTTTAATCATGAGATACTTTAACAACTTGGAGATTTTTTTGAGTGGGCCATAACTATTTTTCTTGTTCAAAATAAATTTTGATAAACAGAAACGTTGAAATAATAAGATACTTTTGTTATTCTCTAAGGAAGGCCTCATCCACTGGGCTATATATAGAGAGACACATACACACACTCACACACACACAATGACATACACCACACACTCATACACACATGCCCTGCTCCTCCCTCCAGCCCATCACAATATTAGATTCTGCATTAATCAATAAATCAGTTAATTAATTAGAGACACAGAGTCTTGCTCTGTTGCCCAGGCTAGCATGCAGTGGCACAAACATAGCTCACTGCAGCCTCAAATTCCTGGGCTCAAGTGATCCTCCTACCTCAGCCTCCTGAGTAGCTGAGACTACAGGTGTGCTCTGGCACACCTGGCTAATTGTTGTTTGTTTGTTTTTGTAGAGACAGGGTCTTGCTATGTTGCCCAGGCTGGTCTCTCACTCTTGGGCTCAAGTGATCCTTCTGCCTTGGCCTTCTAGAGTGCTGGGATTATGATCATGAACCATCACACCCAGCGTAGATGATGCTTTTAAATGGAAATGGTAGAATTCTTTATGATGAATTTGTGGTTTTTACTTCAAAATTTGTTTTTTACTTGTAGCATCACAACCTATATTAGGTAAATGTAGTTCAAAAGACTTAAGACTATAGTTGTTGCTTTTAGATTTTCTTGTCTGGTTCTCAGTTCTGTTAATACTTGAAATTTAACCTGTTCTTTGCTTGGTTTTCTTTAGCTTCTTTTAAGCAAAAGTGTTTATTACTATTCAACTGATAGAATCTTGACTATCCTAAATTTTCTTCTGTCTTCATATCTCTTTCATTAGCTGTAGTAATGCCCCTCTAGCCTTTTATTGATAAAGCTGAACAATCCTCTGACAAAACACTGAGAATCTAAATTGGAGACAAGAACATTCTTGAAATAATAATCTTTGACCTGGCTCTTTTTTTTATGGGTTAGTTGTTTATCTGTCCTAGCTCTGAAATGCAGTTTCTCTCTGTTGCGATCTTATTTCTGCAGTGTGCACACCAGTTGGCCTTTCCCGTATGTTCACAGTGATGGGTCAGCTGCTGGTGAAGCCAACAGTAAGTATTCTATTATAAATATTTTGTTTATTAAATAAATGTGTTTACATTTCAGCATCTTTTATTGTGAACTAGCATTTAGAAACAAGAATATTTTTATAGGTTCATCCCTCAAATTGTTTTTTTTCTTTTTTTAAACTTATTTCATAGTTTTCTTTCTTTTTTATATTTATTTTTACTTTTTTTTTCTTTTTTTACCATCCTAGGAAAAAGGTAATTCTGAATCAAATTGGTTTTTTAATATCTTTTTCATCTTTGGAAATCAATTTTGGTTTTGCTTTTAAAATACTAATAATAGGCACTCAGGTAAAATTTTTTCTAGCAAAATTTAAAACAAAATTTTTTATATATTTGCAGGTATTTTAGATGTTTGTTGCCTTATAGCAAACAGTACCTCTATTATGTTTCAAAATTTACCACATGTATGCTTTGATTTAAAAAGCAGTTACGTTTCTGAAAATTTGACTACATATTATATCTTGATTAATTGAATTATACTTTGCTTTTAATCTCAGAAATACTGTATATTTACTTAAAATAATTTTCTACTGGTAGCAATTCTAATGACTTATCTCTAAGATCTTTTGGTTTCTATTTTATCAGATATTTAATAATATAAAAATAATTTCTTATCTGTACCTAGGGAATTTGTCACTTAATTTATTTTCATGGATCCTCATTGCCTACAATGTCAGGTCTAAGTTACTTACATGTTACAAGGCCTCTTACAGCCTGCCCCACTCATGTCCCTCATGCCTCTCCTACTCACTCCCCACTGGCCAGGCTGCTCTGGTCAGGCTCTGTCACTCCTTCTCCATGAGTGTCTCTGTTCTCCAGTGCCTCTCACCTACTCCAGCCACACAAAGGCCTCCTGAAGGTCCAGCTCAAATAGCGCCTCTACTCACTACATATCTTTGAGCCTTGCCTCACTTCTTTAAGTAAAAATAGTTAAACTCCTTTCTCTGCATTTCTCATATTCCCCTTTGTTTGTATCTCACTAGTAACATTATTAAATCGTTATGGTCATGTGTTTGTCTTCCCTATCATGATTCATTAAGGGAAAACACTGAGGAAATGTTATAGTGGATATTCTCTTAGTAAATGTTTGCTTAATTTTGAAAGTCATATCACTTCATATTTTCTTTTAAAAGTAAAATTTAATTTATAAAAAATATATAAGTATATTTTATGAAAAATACATAAATGTATACACACTCAAGTACAACACCCATGCTGTCAAATCTTAAAGTTCACTTTCCTCTTAGAGAGCTTTTATGACACTGTGTTCATTTAGTTTCTTCTTCCTTCTTTGATCTCTTGCTCCATTTCTGTTTCCCGCCCCCTAAATATAGACAAACGTTTAAATTTCTGTCCTTGGTCTGAAATCCTGTTAGTGCTCTGCTCTGAGTGCCTGACCATCTCTGTGCACAACCCTTCTAAATGCCTGGTTCTAATGAGCAACAGATGATGGAAACAAATTATAGTACCTTGTAAGTGCTGCCACCAAATGCCCCATGGAGCTGCTCCCCAAACTAATTTTTCTCCCAAACTCGTCTCTTATTACAATATCCTCAAAGCCTTAGTTATCTTTGCCTCTTTTCTTGTTCCTAGCGTGTAATAATAAAGATTATTTATTGAGATTGAGTATATACTACATGCTAGTGATAAGCACTATGTTTTACACGCATAATTTTATGTCATCTTGATGATAAACCCATAAGGTAAGTAGTAGTATTCTTACTTTATGGCTGAATTAATGTCAGTTCAGGGAGATTAAGTAGTTTGTATAAGATCATAGATATTTGATATGGAACAGGTTTTGAGCACAGGCTTTGGACCACCGTTCCATTCTGCTATTAGTTCCAGAGTAATAGAACTGCCTTCTTGCTGAGTGGATTTCGTACCTCTCCTGTTTTGCTTATAGTTTTCTCTGTTTAAAATGTCTTTCCTCCTTTTGGTAATTTAAGCTATCTGGTAAGATGTTACTACTATCAAAAACACTGCCCAGGCCAGGTGCGGTGGCTCATGCCTGTAATCCCAGCTACTCAAGAGGCTGAGGCAGGAGGATTACTTGAAGCCAGGAGTTTCAGATCAGCCTGGGCAACATAGTGGACCCCGTCTTTTATAGAAAAAAAATAAACATTGGCCAAAACCTTTTCTCCCCAACTGGAAGTAATCTTTCTTCTTTGACCTTTTGTAACATTTTATTTAAGTTTCAGTTATGACATTTATTTTAATCTTATAATTAAAAAAATTCATTTTTATCTCTTCTGCTACACTAGAATATAATCTGTTTGAGGTCAAGGACTATGTCTTACTCATATTTAAGCCCATCAGCTTATAGTAGTTATGAGGATAGGCTTCAAAGGCACACAACTTTTCTTTGCTCAACCTTTGTTTCTTATGATATAAAATGGGGATGGTAACAGTCTGTTCCTTATGGGGTTGCAGAAATCAAGGGGGATAATGCTTGCAGCACTTAGCACACATATCTGTGTGCTACTCATTGTCATACTAAGACATACCTCTGGTGGTAAGTGATTATTGGACAATTTGCACAGTAAGATAAAAATCCTTTTATTGGTTAGATATTAAGAGAAGTAAAAATTGTCAATTCTGATCTAAACAGTAGAAAGTGAGGTGAAGCACCGATGGGAAAGAAACCTTGGGTCACGGTCCCCAGAGTTATATGGTGTCTGTCTACTCCTGTAAAGCCCAGTTCCATCTAGGATCACTCCCCCCAGCTCACTGCATCCAATGGGTCCTTTCAGTGTACCACTCTCTCTTCCTCAGGACCATCACACGTTCCGGCATGTGCTACTCATCACAGCCTACGTGTCGTCTCCTTGGAGAGGCTTCACTGGCTGGCCTGTTTAGGTCTCCCCTTCTCCTTCCTTCCCACCCCTTTATTCCTCATGAGTGGTCTTTCTTTGTCATTATTTGTATGTTTGTTTATTATTAATTATTATTTTATTGTTTATTTTTTTCTCCCCTCCCAAGTTTAGGCTCCCAAGGGTAGAGAGTATGTGTATCCAGTGATTAGGTCAGGCCACAGAGGACCATAGATATTTGTTGAAAGACTGAGAATTATTGAATCACTTTAAGTAAATTTCACATAAACCATATAAATTTGATACCCAATAGGGATTGCATGATTTGAGAATTTGTTTTCTGAAAATACCTTGCTGGGCAGCTGAAAGGTTTATATATGTGTATAAACCACACATACACACACACACACATATATACATATATGTGTCTGTGTATACATATATAATACATATATTTTATTTATATATAGTTTTCATCCCGTTGTTTTGTCCATTAACTTCTCACAATTTATTTTTTTGCTGAGAATAAGGAGCTTGGGTTTGAATGATATGGAACATTGATATCAGCTCTGGGCTTTTAGATTTTCCCCAGAGCTAGGAAGATAGTTAAGATCCTTTCATAGAAGGATAGTTGTGTTAACAAAACTAGAATTAAACCAATTTTAGGTTTTATCAATTTTGAAGGCTTTGCAGATAATATCCCATACAATTGGTAACTGATTAGTTTTTTTTTTTTTGAACCTATATTGCGTGGGTTGGTGTTGATTGGTTTATATGTAAATAAACCACTTTTCTAGGATTCTACTGGATGATTTTGGTAATAGCAATCTTCAATATTTATGGAATGTTTTTAGTACATTAAAATGACATAAATGGGCCAGTGGCTCACACCTGTAATCCTAGCACTCTGGGAGGCCAAAGGGGGCGGATTGCTTGAGGTTAGGAGTTCGAAACCAGCCTGAGCAAGAGTGAGACCCGGTCTCTACTATAAATAGAAAGAAATTAATTGGCCAACTAATATATATATATAAAATTAGCCGGGCATGGTGGCGCATGCCTGTAGTCCCAGCTACTCGAGAGGCTGAAGCAGCAGGATCGCTTGAGCCCAGGAGTTTGAGGTTGCTGTGAGCTGGGTTGACGCCACGTCACTCACTCTAGCCTGGGCAACAAAGCGAGACTCTCTTAAAAAAACAAAACGAAACAAAACAAAACAAACAAATAAAAAAATGACATAAATGGAAAGTATTACATGTTACTGATGTAGCTTATGGATTCCTTGTTTTAGACATTATGTAGGTAATCATAAATGGGAAAACAAATCTGGCTCTAAAACATTGGCTCAGATATAAAGAGATATTTACTGTATGTAGCTTTTTGGCTGTTTAAAATTCATACATTTGTTTGCCATTGAGAAAGCAGCAGAGTTATTTAGTTTAATCTTTTAAACTTTAAAAATATCCAATTTAAATGTATGTAGGTTTTGCGATAATCAATGTTTAATGTGTTATATATGAAAATATACTTAATTTGTAAATAACATAGTTTGAGCATTTTTAATTTGGGTGCTTAGTAATTTGAATGAATACATTATCTAAAATAATAGATCAAATAGCCTAAACATCTTCATAAACACTAGTTTTTAAATTTTGCACTATTGAATAGTTTTATCTTTAAATTTAGATTCTTGAAGACCTGGATGAACAGATTTATATTATTACCTTAGAGGAAGAATCACTCCAGAGACGTTTAAATGGTATGTATATATTACATATTTAGACCAGAATAAAAAACTTTTTAATTAAAAAAAGACATATAATTGAAAAGAAAAAAAAAAGGAAACCTCTTGGTATTTTATGCTATTGTAAGGAGTGAAGACTTAAGAGTAATAAGGGAACTTCTCCTGTGAAGAAAGTTTGCTACAGGGCTTGGCTGTAATCTAGCGAGGCCTGTTTCATTCCAACACATTGGCCACTGGGGACCTAGGCATCCCTCTACTGCCAACTCCTCATATGCTTTAAGTATATGACTTACAGTTGCTAAGGGAATGCAAATTTGTATGTTGTCGTAGTGACTGTAATATCCCTGTTTCATTTCCCCTTTGTTGGAATCTTTATGATAAATAGTAGTGTGTTTCTTTGATACTAAGGTATCAAATTTGACTCTCAAAGTTTTACTTAGGAACTCTGTTTTTATTTGAGAATACTGTTAATTATCAGCTACTAATCAAGTGGGCATGTCAAAGATTTTAAAGTTTAATTTTTAATTACTGATCATTTTTGGCTTCAGATAAATTAATGAAGAAAGGAGTAATTATGTAGTTTAACAGAGCAATGACATAGTTAGGTAAATTTTCTTTACTTTTACTCAAGTGACCCTCACCCTGTACTCTTTTCTCCTACATAGTCTTTTCAAAAAAAAGTTATAATTACCTATGAAGTATAGCATACACTGCTTGGGTGATGGGTATATCAAAAGCCCAGGCTCCACCGTAATACAATATATAAACATAACAGAATTCAACTTGTACCCCCTAAATCTATTAAAATAAAATAAAAATAAAAAAATGTTGAAACTACCCATCCTCCACCAAGATGAGATTATTAATAGCTAACTATATTTCAGAATCATAATTTGAGGGTGGGTATAAAATGGAAGATTACTTTAAATATGAGATATTGAGAGATGGGAAGAAATACACCTACTTTCTTCGATTATAAATAGTGAATTTAAATCATCAACCCCAAACTGTTGATAATATTTAGAGCTTTGTTCTTAGATCCAAGAATTTTAGTTTGTATCTAATCTGGAGGATTCTTGTCAGTAATGTTATATAGCTTGATACAGATAAACTTTTAGACTGGAATGACATATATCTTTTATTTTTCTAACTTTTTTAAAGCTACTTTATCATTTAAACCCACTTAATTTCAGAATGATAAACTTCCATCAACATCAGTTTTATAAAATTTAATTAAAGCCATTAATATTGTAATAAATTTGTCTTATTTAGATAGTCATGTTACTATGTAATAAACATGTCTGAGTTGTAAAGAATACATGTCAAACTGCCTCCTGCAATGTGGGATTATGTTTCAGCCTCAGGTATATGCTATTTTTATCTTACAGATCGGGGGCTAAGATCCAGGAAAGGTAAACTGTAGTTCTCCTCGAATTAAAGAATTTAAATGAAGTCTGATCAAAACAAAAACAAAAATATAGCCTTTTCTCAGTTTCCTCTTCCACAGTAGGGGAAAAAAGTCTTTCCAGAATCTTTCTATAACTTTTTTTCTCCTCAAATTCAAAAGTAGTTTGTTATATCAAAGAAGTTAAAAAGGAAATTCTTGCTAGAAGGCTAAATGTATTATAAAGTAAATCCAAGTCAAAATAAATAAAACACCGCAACGAGCCTAGAAATGTTGTAGAGAAGAGATGGATTGGTTTCGGAGAGGATGAGGAATGATATGATAACTAATGCTAAGTATAATTTTATTACATACCATTTTGGTAGGCCATGCACTGTTTATGACTGTTTGGTAAGCTGTCTAAAATGTTTTCCGTGAGACTCATTAATGGTATGTTAGGATAATTGTTATGATTTTGTGGTTTGCTTCTGGTTAGCCACTGTGGACTATTTCAGGTGGTAAATAACAGGCTAAATGATTTATGTTTATACCATAGATGATTCTGTGGCAAAATGGACATTTTGACTAATATAGATTAAGAATTGTGAACTTCAGTAGAGTATGTTTATCAAAATGTGCAGAGGAGGCCGGGCGCGGTGGTTCACGCCTGTAATCCTAGCACTCTGGGAGGCTGAGGCGGGTGGATTGCTCGGGGTCAGGAGTTCGAAACCAGCCTGAGCAAGAGCGAGACCCCGTCTCTACTATAAATAGAATGAAATTAATTTGGCCAACTAATATATATATATAAAATTAGCTGGGCATGGTGGCGCATGCCTGTAGTCCCAGCTACTCGGGAGGCTGAGGCAGAAGGATTACTTGAGCCCAGGAGTTTGAGGTTGCTGTGAGCTAGGCTGATGCCACAGCACTCACTATAGCCTGGGCAACAAGCGAGACTCTGTCTAAAAAAAAAAAAAAAAAAAAATGTGCAGAGGAAAAGACAAGATAAAAATATCATGCTTGCCATTGTTTTTGATCTTTTAAAACAAAATACATTTATTATCTCACAATTCTGGATGCCAGAAATTTGAATCCAGTAAAGCTGGGAAGAAATTAAAGCCACTTTAAAAGAAAGTATAGAAATAGGAAGTTAGTAAGCTAAACTTTTTAAATCTTGTTTTTATTTTATTTAACTTTGTATTATATCAGATGTGTTTTATCAAAAATTATTTTATATTTTAAATTATAAAACAAAAGTAAAGTTTTAATTTTTTTACTTTTGGTATTAAAAAGGACTGCAGAATAATGAGAGTAAAAGACTTTTAAAAAATACAGATTACAGTGTTGATTTATCCCGTAATTCATGGTGGCATTTTTCCAGTGGCACACTGAGTATGTTTTTATTAGCCCGCATTGGATGTGTGATACATATCACAGGACTCGGGGACGTCTGCACGGCTTACTATGAGCTCAGCTTTACAGTTATCTTAGCAAATATGCTGCTTAAACAATATCAAGAAGTGCTTTACTGTAAGAATAACATTTTTTTTCTTGAAGGTACTTTTTCTCTTAACTACTTGTGATAGTCATTATATTATTGGAGTTGAGTTTTCATTTGTGGTTTATAAAATATCAGTATGAAACCCCAGCATTTTGGAAGGCTGAGATGGGAGGATTGCCTGAGCCCAGGAGTTTGAGGCTACAGTGAGCTATGATTGCACCACTGCACTGCAGCCTGGGTGACAGAGCAAGACCCTGTCTCGAAAAATAACACATCAGTGTAGCTTTATGATGGAGTGCCTGATTGTGACTTCTCCACTGTTCTTATTTGGCGCTTGATGATGCTGTGGGTTTAATGCTGTTGGGAGGTTTTATTCTTGTTATATTGTCATTATTTCATAAAATGTGTTAGTAAAATGAAGCAAAGCTGTGCACTATTATAATGTTGATCAGCAACCTGAAGAAGCCGTCCCATCCAGCCTGCTCTCTACTCCTTCCCCTTTTTGTTTATTGTACATCATAAGCACCAGATGTGGTGCAGACAAATTAAGTCTCTGAGTCTCAAGATTATAGGATAGTTGACTGAAGAAAAGGGGGCAAAAAGGGTAAGAATTTATAGATTTTTATCTAGTGTTTAAACAACTTGAAAATAAGAAAGAGGGGAACAAGTTCTGTATGCTCCTAGAGCAAGAGGGACCCCAGAGCTCCTGTCATTTGGCTAAGGCAGTGCCTCTCCTGTGTCCCCATTATCATGGCAGGAGTAGAAAGATGCCCACATAACTCACCATGACCTTGGCAGGACCCCCACCCAACCTTGGCAGGACCCCCACCCTTCCCATCCCTCAGCACACAGCCTGTCTTCTGCTGTGTGCCTTGAGACCCTCATGACTAATGGATACATTGTGCCCTTCTCCCCTCTTCATCATGGGCAGTATAAGGGGCCCAGAACCCCCAGGTTCCTTGCATCCTGTCTCTTCACCCCCATGTCTCTATACGTCTCATTTTTGACCTGATTTTCCACTTTACCCTAGCTCCTGAAACTTTGTGCTTGTACCATTTGGAATGGAGAGTTAAACCATCAAAAAACCTCTGTGTCTTTAACCTTCACCTTCTTGTTCAAAGAAACTTGGGCTCTCCCCTGCACACATTGCTTCTCCTGCAATGCTCTCATTTGGTGGCTCTGTTCTTCCCCACACCCCCATAGTTTGGGTAGGTGCCCTCTTGTTCTCTTTGGTCCTCTCCAACACATCAAACCTTGTGTCATCAGACTATGACCTCTTCCCGTCATCTCTTCACCTTCCAGGCTATTCCTGCTCCTTCCTCAATGATTTTAGCACCTTCTTCCTTGTCATTATGTCTGAATAGGGTGTTCACTGCCTGCCCTATTCATGGTGATTTCAGTGTCCACGCATGTGGCCTTTCTGACACTCTGGGAAACTCCTTGCCCTCTCCTTTTTGTTTTTTTCCAGCATATTACAAATGGGGGTACAAATGTTAGGTTACATATATTCCTTTTGTCCTGCCTGAGTCAGAGCTATAAGCATGTCTGTCCCCCAGATGGTACGCACTGCACCCATTAGGTGTGAATATACCCAAATCCTCTTTGCCCCCCACCTGCAAACTAGCGCTCTCTCCTTTTGGATCATTTGCTCAAGCCCCTCATGCCCGAATGTCACCCAGACCCTGCCATCAGCAGTAACTCAAGTCCTTGCGTGATCTCACAGTCAAGCATCCCTTTCTCTAGCTACCGCCTCTTATTTTCCCAGTTCACTTCTAGTGCTCCAATGCCTACGATTCTTCGGTGTAGAGACTTAACATGCCACTTATTCTGGTAACTTTTCCTTAACCTCCATCCCCTATTTCCTCCATACCCCTACTTCCTTATGCAGTTTAAATTCCTGGGCCATTGTTAAAACCAGTCCTTTGTACATGCTCTCAGCTTCCTTTCCCTGTCCCACTGTACTGCATGAGGGCCTGGCAAAGCCTGAGCCTCGGTGGTCTCCGGCTGTCCCTGGTGTCTGCACTCACTCCTGGTTAGCTGACAGCCCAGCCAGCTGCCTGGCCTTCCTTTAAATACATGGCCAGTATCTTACATTTATTTTACATTCTCCTGGATGACTTTTTTATGTCTTGTCTTTCCTCACATCTTCTTCACCATCCTGAGTCTTAGTTGATGATCTTGTTTTCTATTTTCTTGAGAAAACAGAAGCAATCTGAGAGGATTTTCACAAGCCTTGTCTTCCATACCAACTCACCTTCCTGAAGTTCTCACATTCATGGTCTCTTCTGGTGCCGTGGCTGAATTGTCTGTGCTCCTGGCTAAGGCCAGCGTCTCTGCTGCCCTGGGTTTTGTCCCTTTACACTGACTTAAGGGCACAACTCAAGCAATTCTTCCTTCCACAACTTGTGATCAGTTCTTCCCCAACTGGATCCTTCCCATCAGCCTAGAGATATGCTGTAATTTTTCCAGAAGGAAAGAAAGAGAGAGAGAGAGACAGGCATCTGTGTTGACCTCCTATCCCCTCTAGCTCACCACCTCATTGCTTTGCTCTTCTTTATGGCAAAGCTCACCAGAGTTGTGTGCTCATGGGTTTCTGTTCCATGCTTAATGTTTTGTTGTGAACTCACTCTTGCTTCTACTATGCTAGGAGATGCTGTCATCACGTTGGTCTGTGACTTCACAGTCTTCCTCTTACTTTCTTTTCTCCTTGAAATATTTTTCATTCCACTTGGTTTTCAGTTCATCACATTTGTTCCTTTTATTAAATGGGCTCCATTTTCTTAATCTACTTGGCTGGTTTTTCTCTGTGTTTATAACTTCTTTACTTGGAGTGCCTTAGGCCTCATTCCTTAAACTTCTCTTCTCTATTTGGTTTTACTCCCTGGTTATCTCATCTGATCTTATGGCTTTAAATACTATCTATAAGCTGCTGACCTCTTCTCTGAACTTTAAACCTAATGATCCAACTGTCTGGTAGACATTTCAATTTGGATGTCTAATAGGCATTTATTTATTTATTTATTTTTTTGAGATACAGTCTTGCTCTGTTACCTGGGCTAGCATACAGTGACATCATCATAGCTCACTACAACCTAAAACACTTGGGGCTCAAGTGATCCTCCTGCTTTGGCCTCCCAAGTAGCTGGGACTATAGGCACGCACCACCACACCTGGCTAATTTTTCTATTTTTTGTAGAGATGGGGTCTTGCTCTTGCTCAGGCTGGTCTTGAACTACTGACCTCAAGTGTTCTTCTTGCCTTGGCCTCCCAGAGTGCTAGGATTACAGGCATTTGGCACTGCAACTGGCCTACATCTTAAATATATCTTATCCAAGATGAACTTAAGATCTTATCTCAACTTCTTCTTCTATTATAGTCAGCTATGTCTGCAAGTGGCAAATCATTCTTCCTATCCTTAGAGTCTCTTTCTCTTCATTCCCACATGGATTCCTTCAGCAAGGCTGTTGTTTTTAGCTTCACAATAGCTCCAGAATCTGACCATGTCTCACCACCTATACTGCTACTCCCCT